TTCGGCCAGCGCGGGGTCCTGGAGGCGTACCCCCGCCTTGCGGGAGAGCTGCCGGTTTTCTCCGGGAGCCCCCTCTCAGCGCCCGCTTTGCCAGGCAAAGTTGGGACGTGCGGCTGCCGGCCCTCCGGAGGGTCGCCGGGAGCCGGGCGCAGCGCCCTGAGGCTGGGGAAGAGGAGGGAAAAACTTGCAGCTTTTCCATCAGACTTTATGCTTTTGTTCGCGTGTCCGTTATTTTAAATGCTCACAGCCGGTAATAGTGCATAAAAAGCGTAAGAAATGGCAAAAGTAATGAAATCAATTTCCGTGTCGCCTCACGAATGACCCGAGGTGAAAAGAGCTGCTGTGTTCGGCGTGCACCGGTAGCACGGGTGGTAGCGGCGGTGCAGGCACGCGGGAGCGTCAACTTCTGCCGGCCTTAGAGTTGCTGTTCAGAGGAGAGAAAAATAATGAGCAGATAGTAGTGGCTGCAGTCCGGTTACAATACTTACTGTTGTAATTTATTGTTAAATGTTTGGGGCTGAGGTTTTCCACGCAGTTTCAATCCCCCAAATAGTTTTATTTCATCACTGTTTTATCACTATCTAATATTTACGGCTCTAATCACAGACTGATGCTTTTCCCCAGATTTGTTTTTTGACCGGGGGAAGGAATTTTTAGGGCTTGCGTGATGTCAGGTGTAGGAACAGGAGCACAAGAATTGCGGTAGCAGGACAGGCTAGCTTTTCGCCATGCTTTTTATCTCCTTTTCATGTTCCCATCTGTGCCATGTGCATCCAAGCAAGGAAAGAAAACGTATGCTTAAGCCAAGTCTGAGTAAAAACCTACGTGGGATGTTTTTGCGTGTCAGGATCGATGGAAAATGGCATTCTTTTCTCATGTTTTAAGTTCATATATTGTGAGTAGTTAGCAAAGGATGACTGAATTTTGGGAAGCGAAGCACAAATTTTGCGTGTAGCCTTTATGAAGACTGATGCTAGCTGTGTCTTGAATACGTAGGGTATAGCTAAGCATTTTTTCTAATTCCTGTGTCATTACAGATGGAAAAAAAGGCGTAACAATAACTATCAATTTCGCGAAAAAAGTGCTGTGCTAAAGCGGTCGCTTTCCATACTCACTCCATCATTAGCCATGCAGTCTGCACTGCCAAAACAAAAGTATCAACTCCTTTCATACATACCAATGAACGTTTTTTAGCTGGTCATTAAGCTCCGTTACTATCCACCAGAAGCCTTAGTTGAAAGAATCTGTATACTGTTGCTCGTACAGATCACTCTTCACTGTACAACTTCTGACACGTTGGTGTAGGAATGACAATATTTTTGAAGTTTTGTGTGAGAAATTGCTTGGCCCCATTTTGTTACGTAGAAGACAAGATTGACCCTTCCTAGGAATATAAATGCCTGCGCTTTTATTGAAGTGAAAGGGTTTGATTCAGCAAGAGGACTTAGCCCATTCAAAAGCACAGCAAAGTAGTGACATCCTATATTCATTAGGAGAAAAGCTAGGTGAATTTAGGGAAATCTGAATTGATGGGGTCACCTTCTTTTATGCTCAGTGGTGGCTTTAATGTTTTTTAAAGACAAAAAATTTTCGTGGACATGTTTGGGAGCACATTTCATGCAGCAGAAGTTTAAGAGAACAATATTGTACACAAATACCGTGCAAAGGCTCCACTGTTAGAACCACAACTGAAACACAGTCATACAGTAAGTTCTCACCGTTTGCTTCATGACCAAAGTCCTAGGACAACCAGGACATTGGGACCTTGTGACTTCCCCGATGCTCCAGTTTTCATGCCCGAGTTTGCCACATTCTCATTTTCACAAGCTTGGGAACAGCCAGCAAAATCCTCACTGAGGGCTATTGTGCAAGGGTATTTTCATCTAGTTCCTGCGCGTTGTGGTGCCCAGATCAAGCAAACCGAGAAACGCGGTTCTTGGGGCTGTGTCTCAGTCGTTCCCTTTCATAATAGCATGTGCACTGTCTACATCAGTGGAAAGGGAAAATGAAACTCAGGCATGCCAACAGGCCGCTGTCGTCAAGTGCCCCCCTTTATGTTTCATGGTTTATTGGAACGTGTGAGAGGCTTTTATAAAGATAGTAACCTGCTTCAAAAATTGTTCACTGTAGTGCTTTACAGCAGGGGATGGGAGGGGATTATGTAGTAGAATACAAATGAAAATACAGTTCAACTTTGTTCAGTATCTATTGAAAAGCAAACAGGAACTTATTTATCTACCTGTAGTCTTCTTAAGTATTTTTTTTTTAGACAGGTAGAGAAACTGTCACATTTTTCATTTCTGCCCATGTTAATTCATATTGTATAGTCAAATGAGTAGCCACACCAACTTCAGTGGGATTGTGTGTATAAGTGCTGCTTATCATGACATACTGATGGAACTAAGCTTAAACTGACATTTAAGAAGTGATTATCCACTCAGGCCACAAAAAAAGAAACTATTTTTACAATGGAAAACTTCCTGTTGTGTATAAACGTAAAGAATTAACTCTATTGATTAATTCAACTTTTAGAACAGCCTAATTAGAACAGCTCCTGATAAGGAAACATGGATTAATGACAGTGTTTATTGGGATGCAAATAGAGTGAAAAAAACCTAAACACCAACCGTGAACTCAAGGTAAAAAGAAATTCAGTTTGTGAATTCCAGTCGACATTGCTCAAAAAACTTCCTTCCAGCAACGGAACTGCTTAGCAGAGAGAAAGGAAGGGAGGCCACAGGAGCTGCTGTTTTCTCCTGTTGGTACAACGTTATTAATGTTGATGGCATTTCTCCAGCAAACGTTTCACATAAATCATGTATCATCAGTTGTGACAGAATGATGGCATAAAGGAATATTACAGTTGCCCTGTGATCTACCTTAAGCTAATTGCTTGCATATGTTTCATTAGTTTTCAACTGACAGGAAGAAAACTGATTAAAAACATGGATTTATATTCTGATGTACACTTCTCAGGTGGGGTTAAGACTTTTAAGTCTTCTCCCTCTCCTCTGTCCTTACCCATTCCAGATCCCTGTAATGTCCTTTTTCTATTATTCTGATTTCTCCTATCTCTTCCCACATGTAGGGTTGTTTGCCACATCTCTAACTCCATCCTTTCCGTCTTTGTATCAATCCGTTGGTCCTTCCCTTTCCTTGTTCCTTCCAGATCCATTCTGTCTTCTAAGCTGTATGATTTCTGGGGCTTTCTGTACCCATTTAGGACTCTCACAGTTGCAGATTTTCTTCAGTACTCTGATTTTTAACTCTGGTCTAATACAGTGTTTCCAGACCTATAGTCCTTATGTTTTGTTTCTTTGTTTTCAAGAAGGACACGTTTCTAATGCTTTGATTTGAAAAAATCAGGGAAGACCTACCTAGCCCGTCCCTAGATTGACGCTACTGCTGGTAGGTTCCTGTGCTTCGATTTCTCATAAGGGAGCCTCACTGCCCGTTGCACACAAAGATTGTTGACATACGAAGTGCAGAAGGCAAAACCTGTCTGTTACTGAGGGCTAGCCTGCTCTCACAGAAGAACTTTAAGACACAGTGACAGCTAAGCGGCACCAGGCAGTGGTGCCTACGTACAACCACAAGCCTGGGTAGCTCCCCAGCTACTAGAAATAAGCATTTTGCTTTTCTTTGGCACCCGCCACTGCTGCACTACAGCAGTCCTCTCTGGCGGGCCAGAATCCATTCACCACGGTGCACTGCTGCGAGCATGTGTTGTCGAGCGCAGCATTCCTAGCAGTTTTGTCTGCCAGTATCGGCATCAGGACTGCTGGTCTCCTCACGTGCTTTCAACTGTTTTATTATAATTCCTCCTCACTTCCTGTTTGTTGCCTGCTATTTTTCTGCTGTTGCTGCTGCTTTTCCATTCTTTCCAGTCCTCCCAGTCTCCCAGTCCAGCTGTCCCTCCCAGCTGCCGTGGACCCCACCATCTCCCATATTCTACCCCTTCTGCTGCTGCAAGGGTATCGCCCACAGCCTCATTCTCCCTCTGCAGGAAATAACTATCATTCCTGCCGTACTACACACCATGGCTATTGGAAGACATTAGTTAAATAACTAAATTGTCTTGAGACTGAGCACCATGTAAGGGTTACAGCATGATCGTATTTGTTCTGGGCAATCAACTTGATGTAATGGGAAACTCCATCCAAAGCCGGATCCTAGGAAAAAGCTGGGTGAGACTGTCAAATACATAATGTTACCCTTGTCTAGTGCAGCACCATGCAGAAACTTCACACTTCCATGAAATGATCCTCAAAAGGGCAAATTTGGCCCAGAAGTCTTGTGGCTGGACGGTAATCTATCTGAGAAATCACCTTCCTTTTCTACTTATTACAAACTCTTTCAAATTCTGAGATTCACATTCCTATTTCTGGAAACAAATCCATGACCCCAGATAATTAATTTGCTTTAACAGTCAACAGGAAAATGGAACTGCCATTTATCTTTCAGCTTGACTTTGTGTACAGACTCAGGCAATTACATCTTCATCTTTTAGTTAATTTTATCTGCTACAGACTCAGTTAAATTTACTTGCAGATTTCAGTTATTTCCTGAAAGTCTGCAGGATATGAGCAATTGCTCTTTGTATATTAATCACTGAAATGTTTTATCCTGACTTCCCAAGGAAATAAAGCTTATATGAGCAATCCATATGTTTGTGTGCACACTTCTTTATCTGTCCTTTCACTCTGCCCTGTCTCTATCAAATTAATTGACTAATTTCAACCTATCTGAAAGAAAAGATGTTCTTTTAGAGATGAATTGTATACTCCTTAAATGCTGTGTTGTCCCTAATAGTTTTGGGTTTTTTTCTTCCTTTCACCGAGAAAAAGGTAGCAATATGAACCTTCCACCTATTAGACTCAAGGAAATCCACACACGAGAGCAATGAGTGCCCCAACCATGGAAAAAGCTTCCGTTGGTGAACATACTAGGCGCTGTTGTAAGCCACAAATGCACAAGGAACCAACTCAAGCAGTTTTGCTGCTCACAGAATGTCTGGTTTTGTTCGCTTGATTCTTCTTAAAATCCTGAATGCTGGGTCACATGGCATGCATGGGAATAAAGTTTGACGATAATTATTTTAATGATTATTTAAACACTTCTAGTAAAAGTTTAAGTTTCAAATGGCTTTCACTGATTATCTGTAATGAAGGAGGTTTCTTGCCTTTTTATAATTGTCAGATGCACAATCATGCTTTTTTCCATAAGGTCAGCACATTCTTCTGGCTGGAAGAGGTCCGTATCTGCTTGCTTTCCACCAAGAAATGCTGTAAATGGCTGCTACGCCATCAGTGGCCCAGAAGAATGAGGGATATGACACCCTCTATCCCCTGTGCTGCTCAGAAGACGTGTCCTCTGAGAATTGAGGTCTGCAGATGGAGCAGGTAAAAAAATAAAAAGCTGAAAGTTAGAAGGTGACAATGCAGTTGTATTAGCCTCCACCCAAATTCATGCTCTTGTAGCCCCCTTTGTCCCTGGCGCAAATTTAAAGAAGTTGAAAGTGGCAGCCGGGGAAGGAAATACTCTGAGAAATTTGTTAAAATAGTGACATTATGATTGACTGAAGGAGCACAGCTGCCACAGGAGAGGATGCAGACTTTGAGGGCAGGCATGAATCTTCACTGCTCCTGGGCATACACTGTCAGATACGTGAGGATAACCCAGAAATCACCTTCTCCTTCATGATCATTAAGCAAGAGCTGTGCAGAGATTAGGGCACCCGAGAAACTGGAGGTCAGACTCAGAGGCGTTGCAGGAGAGGACAGACCCTTGTGACAGAATGCAAATACCGTAACTTCTTACCAAAGGAGAGAAGATCTACTGGAATTTAGCACAATACACGCATGTGTCTTTGCTGTGATAATGTTAGGCAAAACTTGGGGAAAAAAAGAAAGAACAACTGACTTTCCCGAAATTTTATTACTGGATGTACTCAAGATGGTAATAACATTGTAGCTGTGATGCTCTAGAGATACAATCAAGTGATCTTTCTAGGGAAGCTAATTTACATGATAATTATTTTATTAGAAATGTATACAATTGATGAAAATACAGACAATTTGGCGAGCACATAAGCTCCTCTCCAACTGTCCTATTGACATATTTTGTGTGATGTTTTTAACTTTTACAAATATTTCGCAATGTCTAGACATACCTCTTTTATATATCCTTGGTCAAATTTGCATCACAATGAAAAATATGTTTGCTTAGCTTACAAATGAACTAATATTATTCCCTACCGACTTGCATCAGATTACTTTAAGGTTATTATTGTTTATAATTTTTGTTCTGAAACGCAAATTCATGGTCCCACATGTGGTGAGCCCTGTCATGTTATTTACTATAGAAATAAAGAATGAAAAGTGGCCACTGGCTAAGTTAATACCTAATTTGTTTTTCATTTCATGCATTGGTGGAGTAACCTCACCGTATTTTTCGATGACTTCTAAAGGTTTGCATTCAACACACACCATAATGATGTAACAAATTACCTAACGTTTGCATAAATGCAAAAATCCTTAATGTAAGCATGCCCAAGGTTATTTGAAATTGCATTGCTGAAACAGAACAGGCAGTAAGTCCCACTGCAGTCCATTTTAGAAGGATCGTAAACTTCAAGTTTTCAGACATGTCCACAATTCTCATGTATTTGAAGGCCAATTCTTTCAAAAAAAAAAAATTAAATCTTAAGTGTGCAATATTCTTTTATTTTAGTGTACGTGGAGAGTTTGCCTGTTAGACATCCGCCTTGTGTAAGTATCGTACTTCAGCAAAAATACAAAGAGAGTTACATAGTCACTTTGGACTTAATTGGCATAATATTAGTTGGCATTCATTGCAACGATCAGCGTATTTCCAGTGTAGCAAGTGGTAGGAGTGCCACTTCAAAAACAGCTTTTCTACCACGAGCAGGAGATCTTACTCACAAAAGAGTGAATTTTGGTGAAGAGGTTCTAACTGAGAGATTTTCCAGCTCTCATTTTCATGCATGTTGGTTGCAGAGCTGTCTGGTCTTTTACATTTGCATATGTTTTGCCCATTACATTTGTTGCTATCACAGAAGTTATAAGAATTAAGGGCTTTACCAGAAGAGAGAGCTACTTCATGGGATGCTACAAGATGAATTTACAGCATGTCAGCAACTCTGAGCTAATGTGGCAGGGGAACATATTTTTATTAAGGAAAAAAAAAATCCTTATTTTTAATTAACTGTCAATAATTTATAAGGAAAGTAATAAAATTACTGCATTTTTTACTCCAATTCAATTTGAAGACAAAAAGTAAGTATTTTTTCCCCTTTAACTAGAAATCCTGTATTCCACTTAGGTACAATCTCAGATCTCCTCTGCTCTTCTCTGTGTCTCTGCCCTTAAAGATTAATGAAAAACACTTGGAAGTGCAGCTGACTGGGAACTCTTCAATGAAACAATCCTTTAGCTGGAAAATACTCATTCACTATACACTAAGGCACTTGCAAGAACCTAGGTGCTTCAACAGGACTTTTAATGAAATGCAAAGCTCAAAGAGAGCGAGAGGTATAATGGGTCTTGTGATCGTGAAACTCTCTTGGGAGATAAGCAGCAAATTCAGGAGTCTCTTCTGCCTTATTTAGGTGTTGGGCTTGCAATTTTTTCTTCTTGATCGTAACACGTCTCCTGGCTGCTAGGTGTGAGAGAAACCGCTATAGAGCTGGTCCGACGATTATTCTGTCTATCTGGGATGTTGGGTACTCAGCTTCATGGCTTTGTTGCAGAGAATTTAAACAAAATGTACAAATACAGAAAGTCGTAATCCACCTCTAGCTTAGGCAAACCACTGCAGAGTGGATTTCCTGGTGGTTGGAGTGGATTTCTGGGACAGGGAGGAATGGCAGCCCTGCAGACTGAACCTGAATCTTTCACATCCTAGGTAAATTCCTCTCGCTGCCAGACTATTATCTGTGCATCCATAAAATTGAAAGGGGTTAGTGTCATTTAATAAAGAAAAAGAACATTTAAGAAACCTTAAAAAGTTTTACAGGATCAAAAAAAAAATTTCCTGGTCTAACCTGATATTGAGCATCTTTCATCAATAGGGGACAGATTTAATAAAAAATATTTATGATTATACATGATTATAAACTCATTATTTCAGTTCGACTGTGATTGTATTTATATCCTGATATCATTAACATTAAGAATGACTTCTGTTAGCAGTGAAATCTGGTACTCTATGATTGACAATGTTCTGTATATAGAAAGGGAGAGTCTCACTTGAAAAATTTGACAGAAAACTTGAAGAACTTTCTATACCTTCCAAGACAGTGTTTTATAAATTTTTGAGAAAAATCCAATGGCCCCTAAATTCTTTGCACAAGGTATAATCTTAAAACTATCAGGTAACACAATGTTGTAATTTTATAACAACACATAGCTGCTAAATAACATAGTAACACATAAGTATTTGGTAAAAATAGAAATAGGTCTTAGTTCTTTTTCATCATGGATGTCAACTTTTTTTTGCTATTTAGGCTATTTTTCCATTTTGAGGCTAGACATGAATTCAGATTACAAATGTTTGCTTCTAAAGAATATTTACTGGAAGAAGAAAAGCCTAAAATAGTATGTCTTAGCAGGTCTCTTCTTTTGCAAACAGGATTAACACAAATGGTGCTGCCAGATGATGATTAATGGTTCTAAAAACTATAGATCTGCATTATGTAATGCATCTCATATCCTTGAAATGAGGACTGTAATTTGTCATTGTTTAGAGCTAAAATTACAACAGGTAATTTACAAGAATAGATTGTAGTGTTTTATAATTGCATTTTTTTAATTCATATGGTCTTATATTAGATCTCAGAGCAATGCATTCATTTTCTGTGTAGTGACGTGCAATGGCTGGATAAGCAATTATACATTTGTTTAGCTAAAATGACCTCTATCATATTTCTCATACAGTATGGTACCCTGTAAGCAGCACCACAGAATAAAACCACACTCCTCCCACCAGGAAGCACTCATTTTCTACTTTTATTTCCTCATCCATACTCAATGCCGCGACTGGCAGGGTTTGCAGCTAACCCTTGGGGTTGGAGCCCATTCTGCCTGCTCATGGGAATTACCTTCTGGTCTCTTGTCAGCATGCTTACGGGGTGCTGCTTTCTCACGGGCCCTCCCTGGCACCCCTCCTTGCCCCTGCTGCGTCCCCCTGTTTTAGACAATGAATGAATTCTCTGACTGGCCTTGGCTCATATCAGGGATATGGCTCATTGTATGCTGCAGAGTTCATTAAAAGGCATGCGATATTTCACATTCAAAGAATTTCTCTCTCTGAACCTCTCTGTACTCTTTCACAGAATTACAGAAAATTTATGTAGAAGATGCCAGACAGAAAAGCCTGATTCATGGCATTTTTTTATGGGAATGCACTAAGAATCCAATGTTTTGGCTTGTGGTATGGTCTAATGTGCCCTGATCATTCGAATGGGAAATTCCATTAAATCAGTGACTTACGGTTCTGGAATTGCTCAGTGACCTCAAGTGCTGGAGGACAGATGTAGCTTGCCTTCTTTATTTACTGGTGCTGGCTCATAAATGTATCTTGCTAGCTTGGACAACAGAGACAGCTCCCTTGTGGGCCACTTAGTTGAACTTGACTGAAGAATGTCTGCCCCTGGAAAGAAAAATATTTGGTTTCCAACAGAGAACTGGAGTTTCTGTGCCAAACAGGACAGTGTTTGGAACAAGCTAGAACAGAATGGAGAGAAGATTAAATTATCATGCTAGGACTGAAAGTTATTATATAGATAAGTAAAAACATAATACACCTATGCAGGTATCTGTCTACTATGAATGTTCTTCCTTTTCTATTTTCAAGCAGTGTTAACTGCATAAAGCTAATGTGTAGTCAGTCCTTGGTACTTGCTTTCAAAAATATAGGCACATTTTGTTAAATGTGTTGCATAGGCAGCAAGTGATATGGCCACATCAAGCTGTTAAAAAGAAGACAAGTGCAGGTCAGATATGTCTTCAGAGACTTTACAGGGCCCTGCAAAATTAGTAGTAGCCAGAGCTAAATGCCTTTGTATCTAGCATCACATACAACTAAAGTATAGTTCAGAGGTGCTCTGTGTCTGCTCAGAGATGTAAAAATTTATTCACTATTAAGAATCAATATATTATACAGATTTTTAGTTCAGAACCAGCATATTTGAATCAAGGAGAAATAGTCATCTGGTGAAGATTTCAGCTTTAATTACCCACTCAGATTTGAATTTTGATCACCCCCTTCCAAACACACATCCACTCTAGATATCTACATGTGTATGTGCGTGAATGCGTATGTATACATACCTGTGTTATTTTGGCAATGGTACTCAGATCTTGTTCATAATACTGTTTTCCGTTATCTGTCCTTGCATATCTAATTTCAGTTGACACAATATATACTTATAGATTCAGAATTTGAAAGGGATAGGAAAAGAAAAGAATGCATATTTTCAGTGAAGGCGTCTGTGTGGTTTTATTTAAGATTTTTATAAGACTGAATTGAAAAAGGGCAAAGAGAACATCGTAACGGTAAACCTATAGAATTTAATGGAATGTTATAACTTCGTTATATTTTTTTATTTATCTTACAGATTTCATTAGGAAGTAATAGTCTCATTATAGAATCTTGTAAGATAATGTCAAAAATAAAAAGGACACATATTCAGATAAATTCTCTAAGTTGTAATTTCTGTAGAATCCTGCCAGCCTCCTCACCTCTGGTGAGCTCAATAGGATTTTCTGTAGAGACTCTATTATTCAGTCTGTTCACAGGAAGGCTGAAAGCATGGATACAGCTGGACGATACACGTGCCTTATTCAGTGAATTACTAGTAGCTATCATTTGCTGCCTTGCCACAGCAGTAACAAAATAGTAACAGAGAGCAGAACTCCCATATCGGGTAACACACATGCGCCAGCTGTCCCTTTAACCCACTGCTCTCCTCCTTCCTTGTAACCCCCCCCTTTTTTTTTCATCTTTAAATATTACATGTTTTTCACTTACGAATAATACTTTGTTTACAATGTTACATCTTAAGTACCCAGTGATTTAATGGAAAATTCTGTGTTTGTAATGGAAATAAAATACTCACTTCACGCTGATAAAAGAATCACAGAAGTTTGCCCTTCCTGTTAGTATTTGCGTGACTTTAAGAAATATCTTTGCATCATGTCCACAGGTGCCATGTGATGCAGGAATTACCATGGAAACAACACTATTGAATGGCAAAATCAGGCTTCAGAACAGCTTTATCTTAATCACCTTCAATTTTTCCATATGTTCCAAGTATTTTTCTCTGTTCAACATGGAGTGAACATGAAACATAACAAATTGTGGGTTTGAAGAATGATATGCTTCACTTGCACAACTTTTCAGGCATTGCTGTCCTCTTTGAGTAATAAATTCCTTTTGTTCCTATTATGACTTGTATAAAAAAGACAAGTAATGGACAAACCATATATGTACTTTATCTACGTATCTTCAGAAGATATTGTAAGGCAGACATCTCCCAATGGAGACTTTAATACTTTAAGCACTCCGTAAGTAATGGTGATCCCATAAAAGGTCCATCACTGGTGCCACACTGTGTTTTATGGAATAAAGGAGAAAATGGTTAGTTTGAGAGGGGACCCGAGATGCAGAGGGGACCCACAAAACCTGTGGATACTGGTCAACTGAGCACAGCCACTATTCTATCATATTAAGACCTCTATCAAACAACGCTCCTTCTTTGAATATAAATTTCACCATATGAAAGAGCTTTTATTTGATTCTTTGTATTATAAGATATTCTTGAAGGAAGCAGAAAATGTACATGATGTAATGCTGTACATAAAGAAGAACTCTTTTCTAACAACAGTGATGACTGGGCAAACGTGTCAAATGTACTTATATAACATAATTCAGATCAATACTTCTTTTATCTTCATTCAAGCTTATTGACTATCTAACAGAACTAATAAAACATTCTCAAACCTTTATGCTCTCAGATTTAGAAAAGAATAACAATGGTGAAAAAATATGTCAACGTTTAAGAGTACAACATATAGTTGCTAAGTATGTATGTTATATTTAAGACTGACAATAGCATGAAAAAACACCAACACAACTGTAAGTATACAGATACATATTTAAACTATGATCATGTCACACGTAACTCCATCTTTGTCGTTCAGCCCCCTAAACTTCTGTTTTCTTATTTGGGCAGAGGGGGAGGTTCCTTTTTCCTGTGTAGCTAAGTAAAGTACATTCTTAACACATCATATGTGATGATATGAAAAATCCTGCTCAGTCCCAGCTGCAAATGAATCATCTCATGATTTCAGAGAAGGAAGGAACCACTGTGGACTGCGAACGGGCAGATACAGAAAGGGAGGAATTTTCAAAAAATGGATTTCACTTACATCAGCTGGTAGAAGCAAAGTTTTACTGAGGAATGCTTATAAGAAAATGAAGGAATTAATTAAGACGACCTGCTGAAAACTAAAGACAGAGCACATGAGAAATGTCAGTATGAGAAATAAAGGAAGAATGGAAAAGCTTACAGTGAGGACCTCCAAGTAGCCATAAGATTTGTCTAGCAGAATTCAGGCTGCACAAAATAAAAGGAAATTGCTGTTCAAAATGATCTATGTCTGGAAGATGGGGGGAAGAAAGAGAAAGATTTAAGGGTAAGAAAGAGAAGAGAGGGAATAGGGCAGATGAGTAATGCAAGAAGTAGAAATGAGAGAAGACTGTGAAGGAGAGAAGACTGCAAAGTCATGGTCACTCATGAAATGCCAACATACAGCCAGTAAGCATGTAGGAAACAATGGTGGCTGGTCAAAAATAGTTTGGACGGTGATCTAGCCGGATCAGCGTTTAATGAAGAGAAAGCTAAACTAAATGGACATTTTGGTAAGAAGAGCCACCACTTCAGAAAAGAAAATCAGAAAAAATATGTCAAAGCTAGAAGGAAGGAAGAGGTCAAATGAGTGGTCAAAATCAGAAATGCAGTTTCCTTCATACTTAAGAAATTAAAACATCTTATTCTAGTCTGGAAATTGTACTTCCACCCAGTCACTTCCCTTTACCTCTGGTCTCAAAATTTGTTGCCAGTGCAGCTTTCCTCCCTCAAGAAAATATTCTGTCCTTCTCTTGGCTTCTTTAAAAGTCAAACATAACATCTGGCATTAGATTTTGACAGGGGTGTGGACTCGTTAGTCGATATGGCTGTATAAATAAAAAGGATAAAATGCACGAAAATTTGTCATTGTAGTTCGTTATTAGTTAGGACAGGGATTTTATAGGCTATAGAGAATTTTTATGAAATCACAGTTGAACCTTCTGCAGTGAAATCTGCCATCCCAAGTACCAGAAGCTGGTGAAGGAGGAAAGCATGCCTTTGCTGCCCAGTAGCTGTGTGCCGAGCGAGGCTGTGGCTAGCCCTAATCATTTTAGCATCGATACCAAGAAGTTGTTGTCATGATGTGATACAGACAAAAGTTCTTTTCGCTCGTCTCCCAGATCCAGTAGCTCCTTACAAATGTAAGACGTCCCCAAAAGTGTCCCCAGAAGAACGTTTATTAGTATTTTAGTTTAACCGGGTTTGTGTATAAAATACTGCTGTGTATATAATTTGTTCTGCTTCCATTTTTGAAGTTTTATGGGATTGAATTAAATGTTTTTCAATAATTATGAGGCTTAAATACCAGTCTGGGTATTTAGCTGCTGTTAAGCCTGAAAAAGAATTCTAACTTGGAAACAAGATTGACCTCTTTTTCATTCATTAAAAAAAAAAAAAAAGGAAATCACAGGCTAAAAAGGTTACTCGAGGCAGGTCTCATTTATAAAAGTAGCAGCAATATAGACATATATTACATAAAAGCCAAAGCAATTAATATCTGTACAACAAAGTGCATAAAGCAGTAGTTCATACACAATGAGAACTATGGCTATTAAACTAGCCTATTAATCTATAAAGCAAACTTTGTAATCAGTCCAGCAATTTTTCAGTCTCAAATAAGCCATTTGATGGGAGTCTAATTAGATTTGTGTTTCAGTTCTGGAAATACCATTGTGTGCACTTTTTCTACTGCTTTATAGGCCATAACAAGTTGCTCCCAGGACACTTAACAGACAAGTCACATTTTCATCATTCAGTGGAGCCTTGAGTACATTTAGGACACGTCCTGCAGAGCTGTTCATTGTAGTGGTTCAAGGACACCTGGTGCTATGGAACAAATGCTTTATTTACAAATATAGATTTAATGAGTTTCTGACGTGCTGCAAGATATCCTTTGATCCTGAAAAAGAAGAGCTGATACATACTAGTGTGATGCAAACAGAGAAGACGATTTAAACTAAGGCATGTCATAGCTATCAAAAGCATCCCAATGCTGTAGTACTGAAGGAAGAGCTCTTCGATAAACAATCCATCAGAACTGCAATGTCATTTTAACACCTTCCATGGAAAATCATGGATAAATAACAGTAGCTAAGTGTCCAAGTCACTGATGTGATAGATCAGAGCAGACAATTCTCTTTAATAATGGTGTTTCAGTGTCAGATAAAATTGAGCTTTATGGCATTTGGGTTCCTACTGTGTTTTTCAGAATCGCTTACAAAGTCTATTTATAATCACTCTGGCATTGCTAGGACGTTATACTAAAGTTGTATAGCATTTCTGCACCCCTGTTTGTGACCAGTTTGTCTTACCTGGTTGATTATGTAGCTGTGTTCAACCACGTCAGTGCCAATGGGTAGTGGTTGAAGAACTGATGATCACCAGCACCACTGAGTGGCAGTCCAGTTCTGCATCCTTACGTCTGCATTGCAAATCCAGCACCCCGCCTCCCCAGGGTGTTTACTCCATAGGAGTAATGCATCAACATTTCAGTAACACATTGTTTACATGACGAGCAGCCAATTCACCCACTTGAAAAATGGGCTACATTCATGAAAGGTATTATAAAGAGACTCTTTATGGTGGAATTTTAACAAATAAATGCCATACATTCTCATCTGCCAATTTAAAATTCAAAATACTTGAGAATTACAAGTACTTGTGAAAATAATGAGGTTTTGTGTTCAGAGGAAGCTGTACAATGATTCTGCTGTATATATTTATGAAGTATTGCTGTTTGTCTTGCAGCAAGTGTATAGAGGCTCCAAGGAAAAATCAGAGCCTATGCTGAGTACTACCGACAAAAAACTAGCACAGAGATGGCTCAGATTTAGGGCACAAGCAACCTACTTCAGATAATATACAGGAAATAGAAAAAAATTGGTGAGGAAGTCACAGTCATCCTCTGTCTCATGAAAGATCATTTCTGATTCCGACTTTAATGAAAGCTAGTTACTTGCTGACTCTTGCAATAGTAGCCTATTTTCTCACATGAAGAATCCTTCATATTGCAGAAATGGGAGACCGATTACAATGCGAAGGAAAAATATCGTAGTAACACTGGTCTCGCTCATCATTCTGGGGAGAAAAACAGTTTTGGCTTAGATACTTAAATGTGTTCACTTCTTCCGCACATAAGTTCAAAGCAATTAAAACCTGCCACTTGACAATTCCAGATACTCAGTAAAATAAATGATGCTTTGAGAGGCACCCTTCTCATAAAACTTTCCATGCCTTTTGTATTTTTTCTGTTTAGATAAGTATCTTGGCAGGCATGTACCTTTGTCCAATACAGATCTAATTATCACATGTCAGAGTTAAAAAATCATGGTAAAAATCTGTGTCTTCTAACGTGGAAAAAGAACTTTATTAGAATGAAGAAAATAGCAGCCAGATAACTCACTTTTCTTTCCTTCTCTGAAGAGCTTCAGTCTAAAGCACAGTCACTCCACACTTCCTGCCAGGCTTTATAATAATAGCAAAGTAATATATAGTTCAGATATCTTCATATCCCTTGTTTTCTTTTTCAAGCCTCAGCGTCCCTCCATCATTCTCCAGATTTTTACAAGCTCTTTTAATTTACCTGTTCTTAAAGTCTTTGAATTTCCACTCATCTCTGTCATTTCTGCTTTCTCCTGAATCTCACTCAAGCCTCCGATGACAGTTTCAGCAGCAATTTTCATGGGAACTGTGAGCCAGCCAGGGGGCTTTCAGATCCAAGGAGAAGGGAACACCATTTGTACTAAGGCATCTCACGCATCGTAGCTCCAGGCTTTGCCATCAGAAGACCTTGGTGTAAGTGATCCAGACACAGCTGTTATCTCAGACACTTCTTTATATGGCTCCTGGATGACAATCTCAATGCAGAGAAGAATCTGGACAAGTGACGGAAACTTAGGAGGAAAAACGGGTTAGACGCAGAGGATATTTAGAAGAGGAGAAAGAAAAAAGTAGAGATAAAAAGAAGGATAAAGAGAAAAAGGAAGAAGGTGAAACAAATTGGAAGAAAGAGAATACTTCTCCCCTCCCTTTAAGGCCACAAAGAAATTGATATTACTTAAGTGCTCTTCTAGTGCTTTACAACACCAGATTTTGCTTCATCGCCTCTACTGAGTTCTCTGCTAATTCTTAATCAGAGTTGAGCTCTGATTGTCACACGTTTCAGACCTGGGACCTCGATTACAGAAGATAATCCCATAAGGGTATGTGTAATTAGACGGAACAACAGGGTGTGACAGCAACTCTGTACCGCAGAGCAACTATGTGCAGAGCAGCACATTCACCTTAGCTAGCAAGGGAGTCTTTTCTGAAAAGCTATTTCATATTCACCCTAACCTCCCCAAAGAAAGACTGCCCTAAGAGATAATTTATCAAACACTGAAAAATAAGGAAGTGTCAGAGTTAAAGATGTCTGTGAATCTTTAATCCCTTATTAAATTATGATGCCAACTTTAGTTATACAATCACACACACTTTCCCCTTGACCCTTGCTTCATTATGTGCAAAGAATGAGCTTCATTCAACGTGTGGTCTATTTACTTTCCAGTATTGAGTCTCAGCTGTGAGGACAGCCATACATATCCTGCTCGCCTGTTCTGTGGCTCTCATAGCACATATGTGTTTCACAAACATTCCTCTCTACAACACTTGCCCTGAAAGAAAGGAGTTTCATCATCTCCACCCTACAGCTGGGAAACTCAGGCTGTACGATACAAGTATCTGAGAATTCAGGCTGATGATCTGAGTAGTTCACAACGGGTAACATTTCATATTTTCAAAGGGCAGTTCCCAGTAGCTTCAGATACAGTTGTGAATGTTTAAACATTTCTGCAAATCAGCCTGTGAGATCTCAAGCTGGACAATGAAAACAGAGAACAAAATAACCGCCTGGGAAAAATGTGATTAAAGGAACTTGCCACACAGGAACTCTGCAGTGAAGACTGACTCCAGTTCTCCAAAGCAGCTACTGTCTAGTGATGAGATCTCCCTTGTATTTCCCTACGGCACCAGGGCTTTATGATAAGAAGTGTCATGCAACCTTGATAACTAGCAGTGCTACTGGCACATCACAGATACTAAAATGTGCTCTTTGCTTGTGTAAAATTCCCTATTGTGCCTGAAAAGGAAGTGCAGGCTGTAATAAACAGGACTGAAGATCACTGTGCCTTTCCTTGTTTCTGGAGCAGTTACAAAAGTTGAACGCCTCCTTATGGGATTTAACTAGAAGAGAATGTCTAGCAAAATCTCCGTGACTCCCATTATAACATCAGGCACCGTATATTGAAGAACAGCTACCAGAAAACAATAGAGCAGATTTTTCAAATTGTCTTTTAGTGCAGGCAAGACCTTTCTGTTGAACTGAAATCCATACTTCCGGATAAGAAGACAAGGAAGAACAGACACTGGGAAGTGCCCTAAGATAAACAGCAAAGAAATTCATTCTATGGCAGGGATAAAACAATCCAACTCTATATTTTTCACGTCCTCTAGCTGGACTCATCTTGAGAGTCACTTTAAAGAGCACTGCTCTTTTAAATCCATATTCTTTTTTCTGAGCTCTGTGACACATGGCTTACTGACCACATGACATTTTCTTGCTTGCTTCTAAGAAATTCAGTTATACTGTCTGCTTAAACACTTTTAGTGATTACCTCTGATAGCAACCTTCCATCTCTCACTGGCTGTGCATATTTTCTGGAATGGATGGGATTTCCAGCCTGTCCTAACAGGGAGTGAACTGCTAATGAGTTGATGTGCACCCCTGCTAAGGATTCTCATCTCCTGGCTTGTGTAGCACATCTCAAGACTGTTGACCTAGAAATCACAGAGCCAGATTCATCTGTTTCTGATTATAGGACGCATCGTTTTTGTTATTCCTAACATATTAATTTTGATATCAAGGACATTTTTCCAGCTGATTTTGGTTCTCACATCATTTGTTTGACATGCAGATTTTTATGCATTTTTATGGTTTTTTTTAAAAAAATAAATAAAGACTGAAAAATGTGAGTTGTTCTTTTTCACTTAGTATTAAGAGCAAATTTGAATCTTCTCATTTTTCATTTTTCCAGCTGCTATATGGTACATTATTCTCATATTTTTAATGTATATTATTGTTTCGCTCCATTCTTTTTCTTGTTCCAGACACCCTGATTTTGAAGAATCCACGCTCTTCTGTACTTATATCCATATTCATCTTCACAGAGAAACACTGAAACACATCGTGATGGATGTTCTAACTCTTTGGTTGCTTGCTCAAAATGTACTGTGTACGAATTATATGTTGTGTGTTTTGCTAAGAAGAGTTTTGCTGGCTGTGAAGAGGAAGGCTGTTTGCCTTGTTGCTGCTGCTGCTGCTGTCCTCTAGTTAAGGAAGAAAGAGGAGATTGCTCCCCAGCCAAAGGGTGACCCAGAGGAGCTTCTAGAGGGACACCAATGGCCAGGACAGGAAACAAAGAGGAAAGAGGTAGAAACATAGGCTTAGAGGGTAACTCAGGTTGGAAGGGATCAGCTATGAGGTCAGACCACATTGCTCAGGGATTTATCCATCTTGGGCTCAAATTAAGAGATTGTTGATGGGAGAGGATAACAGATCTGCAGCAAAGCCTCTGAAACGATGGAGAAAAGGAAAATTGTCACAGAGTCCCAGAAAAAAAATCTGCTGAGGTGGTATTTCAATTCAGGGAGCCATAGAAAGTTGCTGAACTAGAAAGCAGGGAAGCTCATTTGCAAGAGCCCATTAAGAGTGTTTTCAAGGCTATGATTTTAATCTCTTAATCTTCTGTATTTTATTTATTTCAAGTGCTACCTTATATACATTATATTTATTTCAAGTGCTACCTATAGCGATAGGACGAGAGGAAATGGCCTCAAGTTGCACCAGGGGAGGTTTAGATTGGACGTGAGGAAAAATTTCTTTACTGAAAGAGTGGTTAAACATTGGAACAGGCTGCCCAGGGAAGTGGTTGAGTCACCATCCCTGGAAGTATTTAAAAGACGTGTAGATGCGGCGCTTAGGGACATGGTTTAGTGGGCATGGTGGTGTTGGGTTGATGGTTGGACTCGATGATCTTAGAGGTCTTTTCCAACCTTAATGATTCTATGATTCTATGATTCCAGACTGTTGTTTTCATGTTCAAGTAAACAAGCTTTAGCAACTGGAAGAAGTTGGAGTCTTTTGATGTCTTTATTTCAAAAGAAAGAAGGGCACTTTTACTTCATGGTCTTGAGCAATGCCGGGTCCTGTTACAAACATGCATTTACCAGACAGGTTATTCCTGAGCCAACTAGTACACCCTCAATTTTATAGATGGATATTTGTGTATGTGAGAATTTTGTTCTTAAACAAACCTCCATCCTGCCCTTGACACTAATGCTGTCATTAGGGAGGGATATTCATTGGGCAGACAGTCATAACCAGTGCTGAGGACCAGGCAAGAACCAGGCTTAAAAGCAAGGCAAACCAGACCCTGGAGAAGTTAAGAAGGGTAGCAAGCAAAGAGCAGAAAAAGGGAAACACGGACAGAAGGGCTCTAGAGTACATGGCTCAAGGAGCAAAGGGAAGGAAACTAAGCAAATCTGAGTCTAGGCTAAGGAGCAGACAGACCTAGAGCAGAGCTGAGAAAGAGCTACGCTAAGCAGACAGGACCAAAGTACAGCATAC